GAATAGAACTGGCCGATACTTGATAAAAATCCATATTAAAAAACTAATTAATACAGTTTACAAAAACTGCGACACAAAACACGTGTCGCAGTTTTTGTAAAAACCCTTTATAGCGGAAATCAAACAATTGAAAGTTCAACTAAAGGCCGATTTCATAATCAATATCTAAAGTCCACGTTACCAAAAGGAGACTTTTCACTAAAGTCCCCTTTAAAGTAGCTGTTGCCATTTCCATAAAGTATCTTTTAAGTAATTGTTAAGATGTTGGTTAACCTGGAATTCATGGATTTTGACAAGATTTGTCATATTTGGCGAGTTTTTCCGTTTCGTGTTTAAATAAATAAGATTAAAAGTTGTGGTGTTTGGTGTTGTGTGTGCTACCAGTTGAAAGGGGAAGGGAGCCAGGCTTCAACCTGCAGGAAATCAAGATGGATTACGTCTTGTTTGGTGTTTTTATTATTTTTCATACATGTGAATGTGTTGTTGGGCTAGTGAGGCAATAGCAATAGACAGCTTTTTGATAACCCTGCTAGCTGAACTTCTAGACACTCCCATAAAATCTGATACTATTATTTACATATGTCCTGATGCGTAGAATCTTAAAGTCAACAATAATTTTTGTAATGGTGTAATGGACCCACCTCTAAAAATTAAATAAAAGTTTTTGATATATCTATTATTAATAAAAAATTTACAACTCACTTATTAGTAGGTAAATCAATTTGCTCTTTTATTTCATCTAGTAGACACAAAACAGTTTGTTTTCGCGGTTTAACCCACGTCTTGTGTCAGAAAGAAAGAAACAAAAAGATATCTACCTAAAGCGTGCTTTTCTTCTGGTGAGGAATTTCTGAACCATTGACTGTCGATTTTTTCAACATTCCTGTTTTACATTTTCCTATATACACACACATATTAATTTTATTTTGATCTCAAACCATTTTTGTCTGGAACGTATGTAACCCATGTTTGTATTTTAGCCTATTTTATGAAATGCCACTTCTACTGAATACTTTTTTTATAGACAAATAATTACTACAACTACTACATATTCTATCACGATATACTTGTAATGTACGATTATTCTATTCAATTCATCGAATATCTGGGAATCTGATTTGTAACAGTTTTTCGCTGAAAGGTCTATGTACACACCCTTTAATGAATTGAAGAATAATGAAAGGGCATATTTCTTGA